GGATTTGAACCAGCAACCTTCCAGCCACAGGCGCAGATCCTGAGCCACAGTGCCACCGCTCTACCTGAGTACCTGTTTGAAGAGCTCTCTGTATGGTTGTACATGGTCTGATTGTAATGCCCGTTTGTGTTTGTGTGTCCTCAGATCAGCAGCTCTGCAGAATCAGAGGCCCGGACCACCACGGGCCTTGTGAAGGGACACGCCTACTCCATAACCGGGCTGGACGAGGTAGCCGACGAGCCGTGCTCTCCTGGGGGGAGGGGGTCCGTGTCCCCTGGGGCTGTAGCGCGGGAGGGGAAAGCTCTGGTCCTGGCCGCGCATCCTCAGTTGGCCCTTGTGTTGCAGGTGAATTACCGGGACAGAAAGGTGCAGCTGATCCGGGTCAGGAATCCCTGGGGACAGGTGGAATGGAACGGCCCTTGGAGTGACAAGTAAGTGAAGGCTTTCTCGCTGCTGCTGGGATTTGGGCAGCAGCTGCTGTCAACTATGGAAAAAACGCTATAGTGTTTGTGCACTGGTGACCCTGTAAGCAGTTATGTATGTATTTATGATTATTAGAAAACTAAACTTATGGTAGTAACACAAGCAGCATACACAGAGAGAGGCCATTCTCTGTTTTCTGAGGGATATTTCATACTTCTTTAATCTTTAGTGCTTTGAGTGTCTGTTCATGTTTTTTGACGAGTGTTGTTGTCACAGACAGATAAGGAACATTCATCTGACACAGGTGGAAGTGCCAACCCCAGGCGGATTCAAGTCAAGGAAAACAATTCCTGATAAAAGATCAATAATAGTTGTACTTTTGTTTGTGCCTGATGCAGTGTCTTCCTGGGCTTTTCACAGCTCTAGGGAGTGGAGTGCAGTTGACAGAGAAGAGAAAAAGCGTCTCAACCAGAATGCTTTGGATGATGGAGAATTTTGGTACATATGTTTTTTTTTAATTCCTGCTACAGTCCAAGTACACATTATGGGATATGAAAGTTCAAGGCAGTCTGTTTCAGTGGCTCTGCACATCTATCTGAGGCAGAAGCAGATGGTAGAAGCACAGTGCCCATGCTGTATACCTTCTGGGTCCTGAGTTCGAATCTGCACTATGCTGGCTGCCTTCTGTGCTTTTCCTCATGTGTTTGCATGGCATTTTGTGTGTGTTATTGCCCTGTGTTTCACCAGGAAAGGCTCCAGGTTGCTATGAGCCTCACC